AAATGACAAAAACACTTTTTAATAGAAATTGTATCACTATTTTTAAAAATCCTTCACGAAGATGAAGAGGTGGGCGTCAGCTATTTATATTTAAAATGATCAAGTTCACTTTTATGGCGACTGTACTGACACGGCCCCCGAGGCTTCGACGTTAGCGCGTTATTTACCGTTTTCGCAAAGTTAACGCGAGCTAAAGAATTATGCTTTAATCTGTCACAATCTTAGTCCCGGGTCCCCGGGGCCTCGGGTCTCGGGTCCCCGGAGAGCTCCATTACTTGAACGAGATCTTAAGTGTAATTTAGTTATGGACCAAATTAGTCCGACGGGGAAAAGATGACGTATTGTTATGTTTAGGCTTCCCAAATTATGTTTAAGAGGTTTTCATAAGAGACGAAGGTTGGAATATTTGTATGATATAAATACTTTTTTGGACTCGAATATTTTATTTAATATCAATTAAAGTCAATTCCATACTGTCAGTTACAAGTGTTTCTTTTAATTAAGCAAGATAAGTTATTTTAAGAACATTCAAGTTTAAGTTTTTAGTTCACACCGATAGGCGTCGTGTGTCCAAATAGAGAGTTGTTTTCGGAATTTCATTTTATATACCTATATGTCATATATAGAAATACATATAGATACTCATATTCTACTTCTTACTTATATTATAAATGCGAATGTTTCGAAGTGTGGAAGGATGGGTGTTTGTTACAAGGTATCTCCAACACGGCATCATGGATCTCGTTAAAATTTGCCATAGATGTAGAATACAGTCTGGATGAACACATAAGCTACTAATTTAGTTTTTTTTTAATACCGCGCGGGCGACAGCCAGTGACATAAATTTAATTATATAAAAATGATATATTACTAGTAGGTTTTTTTTTATATCATAAGGTGGCAAACGAGCGAGCGGCCACCTGTAATCGCTGAAATAGCGAAGTGACCGTCGCCCATAGACATATGCAATTGCATATGCGTTGCCTACCTTTAATCACCGGAGGAAAGAATGCACAGAGAGAAAATATTTTCCCTTCCCATGCATCCTTTCATCCGGAAAGTCCACTTCCACTTCCCATCCTTTTCTTATAAGAAAAGGGTGGGAAGGGAAAGAGGACTAGGTGATACTAATTAAAATTTGCTACAATATTTGTTAAAAGAAATAAGGATTGACAATAATTTTATTAAAAGAAAATTATAATAAGATTTTGAATGTGTTAATAAATCGATAAGTCAATACTATAAGCAATAATTTCTTGTATGACATATCACGGCCAGTAGCAAACTTTCTCCTTCATGTTACACAAATATTTTAGAAAGTTCTGTTTGAAAATACAAATATACGGATACGTTACAATTCGTTATTGATAAGACAGTATACATCGGAAATGTATACGTTATATTTATAAAGACAATTTCGTTTTTATCTTCATTTTTTTAAATAAACTGTTACGAATACAAAACATTCCATTAACAATGTTGAAGATCGACGATAATAATAAAATTAAATCAATGAAATAATTCTTTAAGGTAATGAAGCAATTTAATAAGTCATTGAAGTAATCATTTTGTTTTTTAGGGTTCCGTACCTCATAGGAAAAATACGGAACATATTATATGATCACTTTGTTGTTATTCAATTGGTAGAACGTGATGAATTTATTCATGAATCGTTTATGTGATGTCAAATTTAATTCTACGACGATTTCCAGCCATGTTGTTTATAACATGTTTATGTGTTCATTATTATCAAAAAAACCTTAATTAATGTAATATTTTCTATATAAAAAACCATACACCAAATGAAGCTATGTCTTATAAAATGTTCTTTCGAAACATATTCTCTAAGACGTTTAAAATACATAAAGCTGATGCAGTCGCGGGACACGGGACGCGCGGTGCGGGGCAGGGGTGTAGCCCACTCGGCCGTTGCCAAAAATCTAGTCAAACTGGCTTCGACGACGCATGCATGCGTGAACAGAAATGCTATGGAGATGAAAGTATGCTAGAACAATTCAATGATTTTCATAATAAAGAAAATTTTAACGTTATAGATTGTTCAAATTTGAGGATGCTAGATACTCTTCGAATACAAGAAACATCTTCCAATGGCTGACATACATAAATAAAAGATAAAATAAGGTTATATTAAGCTTGTCTTTGCGCAACAAAGATAACCAAATCGTAGTAATTTTGTTAAAACTTTTTAATAGGACATTGTATTCAATAAAATATAATTATACTTAGACTTATCAAGTTACACATTTCGCATTTTGTAAACAGTACCAATGAACACATTTTAAAAGATGTAAAATAAACTACTCTTGATTGTGACGATTATTAAATTAAATGAAGCCACTCCATTCCTTTAGTTGTTCGGTTGTTAGATAGTGGTAAAGCAAGAGTAGGTGCATCTAAAAAGTGCAACTCGATTGCAAGAGGCTGCGCGCCTGCAAAAAAACTTGGCCGAAATCTGCGGCCGACGACCGGCCATCGACCTCATCCCCGCTTAGATATAACTGCCATCTAGGTATTCCAAGGTGACTTATATATTACATGTATGTATATAACAAGTGCTAATTAGGAAACATGTTTATATAGTGATACATTATTGATGGACTGTTATTACTTTTTTGTATCTTAAATATTTTACGAGGAATTTTATAAATATACAACAATGCTATTTTTATCAATAGGTATTCTTTCTTAATCTTATCTTTTTTAATCTTAGTAAAAATAAGTTCTTTGAAATATATAACGATTACATTCTTAGTAACTAAATATATTACTAATTGGAAACATAGAAATATTTTACTATTATAGAAAAAAATTGCAGCAAAACTTTTTTTTCAGTCTCCGTAATTTGTTGTAAATGTATTTTTTAAGTCATTTTTCATATTTTAGTTTATTTTTTACATCACTTAAGATTTTTTTATTATGTGAAGTGTTTTACTTCACGAAATATTCATTATCATTTAAAGATAAACTCTTGAAGAATGTAGTATTAAAATAACTCATTATTCGGTCCGTCAGGGCGTCTACACCTGGACGCGGTGCGTTAGCTATCAAAAATCGAAATACCTCAGTTTTTTTAACGAACTTTTTGCAACTTAACTTGCATTAAAAATCTGTCAAACTATTTAATCCAATAAATACTTTAACGTCTTCACATAAGTGTTATATTCATTTGACAATGAATTATTTAAAACACGTTCTTTAAAAATGCATTGAATTCTTATGATGAGAAACGACAAAACCGTTCAATCAAGACCTACCATGCCTCTCTCTAACGTATTCATTTTGTTGTAAGCAAAGGGATTAGACATAGCTTTAGGGACCAGCATTGTCTGGTTTTAATAACTGAACTAAGTTGTAAGATTAAAGCGAACAAATATACTTAACACTGAAATGAATATGTGAACAGATATTTACTTGAAATTGGGAAACAATTCGACAAATACGAAAAAAAGAAGCATCGTCCTGAGATGACATCTTACTAATGGATGGATGGATGTTTGTTAGAAGGTATCTCCAGATCGGCTGCATGGATCTCGTTAAAATTTGGCATAGATTCAGAACATAGCCTGGAAGAAGACATAGGCTATTAATTATTAGTTTTTAGGACTGAGTCGTGGGCAACAACTAGTGTTTTAATATAAATTTTAGTCCTCTATAACTTTCTTGCTCTTATGAAGGCATTTATTTAACAATAGAATAAAAAAAGAATGGACAGACTCAAATCTAATGATGTTCCAAAGATCGATAGTCGCGTGAGCCTTTACCTTGCGTCTGTACGTGGGCGGAGGTGAACGATTCGTCAATACGCGAATCATTAGCGACCTCCGAAAGGCGACGCGGCGAATAGAACCCATGTCTCTTTGTGTGCTGCGTTAGTCATCACAAGCTCGAGCGATGAGAGTAATCTTTATGGATACGTAAAACATTGTTTAGATTGACGCTTCTAAAGACGGTTTTGTACTGGTTTATCACATCGTTTTCACGAGATGAGATCAATTGCGCAGGATATTTTAGGTTTCGTAAACACGTTGCAGAATTATCGTCTTTCACCTTCCAGATTCAAGTATCATAACATTGTTTTATTATTTTTTACCGACTGTATTGAGCATAATGTTATTCTTATATTTATGCGTATCACTTTACGAGGATTTCTAAGAAAAACTAATTTACTTTTAGCTTTAGTTCATATTTTTTTTAATTGTAAAATATGTACCTGAGAGCGACGGTGGCTCAGGGGTCAATCACTTGACTTGCAATCTGCAGGTCTTGGGTTTGAATCCCGCCATCTACCAAAGTGTTTTTCTATTTCCGATTTACATATGTACATTTATCCGATCCGACGTTGTTACGGTAAAGGAACCTGCACAAATCTGAGAAGAAATTCAATGATATGTGTGAAGTCAACCAACCCGCACTTGGCCAGCGTGGTTGACTATGGCCTAATCACCCTTAACTTAGGGTAGACGTATAGTGAGCTGATGATGACATGTACTTATAATATTTTGTTTGGTTGCACACAGATAGGATTAGATTTACATATATAATACCAGCATTAAATTTCAATATAATTTTAAATTAAAAACTACAAAGTTTTATTCTTAGAGTGATGTAATCTTCTGGAAAATGATTGCAAAACGTAACCTTTGTACAAAGTGTAATATTACACGCGGACAAGATTTAAGATGCTGATAAAAACTTAATGTGAACATGTTTAGTGTCAGAGTCGTAAAATTGTCGAATTAATGGAAATCAAACCTTTTTAGTTGAAATGTATTTAAACAACTATCGTATTCACTGAAAAATAATGTTTTTAAAATAAACAATAAAACTCTATTCTATTGCTGAATCTCTTTTTTAAAAAATGAGATACACAACGATATTTTTTTATAAAATTACTTCTACAGTGGAAACGCACCTTAAGATGTATCTATCTTCGCATACAGTCAGTGGTAAATTAATCGATATTTGTATTATTTCAGCGAAAATCAAGTGAAGATGGCGCTGAGGTAGACGGATTGGAGGAAGGAGAATCACAGCCAGCTAATGGCTCTATCTTTACTATGACACTCAAGAACAATCATCTCATCGTTGAGACAGAAGAAAGGAATGTACGTATTTATCCAGCGGAAGAATTTATTTTTTCACAATATTATTACTATTATAGTGTTAAATCTGAAGAATATTGTCGAAATGTTACATTGTACAAATATTGTTTTTATATTGGTAAAAAAAGGGTCTTAACAGACGGACGGACAACAAAGTGATCCTATAAGGGTTCCGTTTTTTTGCTACGAGGTACGGAACCCTAAAAATTGTTACTAATTTCGAATTTGTAATCCATCGTTCGTACGGAGAAGGGAAACATCGTGATGCAACCCACACATATCGTCGCAGAAAGTCAAAGATTGGTAGGTATATGTGTGAAGTCAACCCGTTCTGGACCAGCGTGGTTGACTATGGTCTAACTGACCCCTAAAGTGGGTAGACTGTGCCACTTGAATAGCAAGCTGAGATCTCTTTAGAGGTCATTATATATTTTTAACACCGATATTATTTTTTTTTAATTAAGATGTTAACTTTATTAATTTTTTAAATGTATTTTTGACTGATTCTTTTACTTTGGTAATTAAAATTCCAGACAAGAGCTGAATAAGTTTCAGATTCCATTTCATTTTCGAAATATTTTTTTTAATCAAGTTTTTTTTTTGGTACAGATAATATTTTGTTCATCTTAAGTATTCCTTATTGGCGTATCAAAATCCACTCGTTATATTATGAAGCTAGTATTTAATATAATAATTTAAGGTAAGTTTGAAATCGCATGTCTTTCAATGACATTTTCTGATAGGGACTTATCAAGTTGGTGCAAATATTTATGCAGTGAAAAATAACAAGACTATTTAAAATATCTTACATGACTTTTACTTGAGGAAAATAAACATAAAATTTCAGAGAATCTTACGAGTATTTATATTTCAAGGAAAAATTGAGAATAATTGCTATGATTAAAAACTCTTATAAGTTGATAAGGTTCATAATAGTATATTAAACTATACTGGTCGTTGAACGGTAAAACTTTGAGTAACATGCCTTAATGAGATCTAAAGTTATTTATCTAGCTCAGTAGAGCGCTTAAGTTTTAATTAAAATAATTTATAACTAGTTTATCATTAAGAGCCTTGGTATTTGTTCGGATATTAAATTACTTAAGGGTTTAAAGACTTCGGATATGAAAATATTTATTTCATAAAATGTTATATTCATTTGAAGTAATCGTAGAGCAATATAGAGATATACATTGAGTTAAGATAGGATTTTGTTACTCTTGAGATAATATAGTACTTGCATCTTATATTACTAGCTATTTCCCGCGTTTCCGTCCGCACGGAATTAATAAAAAAAATATTAGTAGTCTTTGTGTTCTTTGAGACTATGTTCTATATCTACATATGTCAAATTTCATCGAGATCCGAAGAGCTGTTTTGTTGATTCCTTATAACGAAGATACATTCATCCATCCATCCATGCATTTATAAAATTAGTTAGATATTTGTTCAGGTCTGTTAGCAAAATGGTTAACTGGGCTTAAATACGATACAGCCGAAACAGGCACATATTTGTTTCAACCACTTTCATACGTTGCTCTGTCGTAAAACCTGCGTGGTCGTGTCAGCATTTGTAGTTTATTGTTCGCCATTTGCTGCAGCGCGGGTTTCGGTGGGTCAATGATCTCCTGGTATGCTCACTTCCTATTCTAAGAAACACTTCAATGATATCTTTGTGCAAATTCTAGTTTGCCTGAGAACACGTTCTCGCTTGTGTCATTGTTTTGCACCTTTATAATGCGAATTACTTTTTATTTTACGTTGAATGTGCTCAACTGTTTTGTGACTTATTCGCACCTTTGCTTTTCGTCGGCACAATAACATTACCTAATGTTATATTCGCGGCAAACATATCATTTAATTTTACCGAGTTATTTCTTATCGTGCGAACAGAGATTTGGAAATAAATACGAGTTATTCACTTGTTGCATAGTATCATTAAAATAATTTATTTTACTTTACAGGATATAACGAAGAACGGTCGTGAAACGAAAATGAAGTATTCACCAGACAACGATGGTATTTTCGTGGTCGAAGTGCAGCAGTCTGCGGCGTATCGACCATGCAAGTCGATCCAGAACTCACCACCTCATGACCCTCAAATATCTACCAACCAAGCGCTAATACATCGCATCCCAGAAGAATTAGAAAGAAGAATTATCGAAGAAGACAGTGAAAGAAGTAGTGGAAAATTCGAAAGACAGGCATTAGCGTTATCAAGTACTGGTCTTTCAATCTCTGATCTTAGTATGTCTTCCATAGGATCTCATAACGTGAGCTACTCTTATAGTAGTCAGATGGGATATGAACAGGGACCATTTGGATATCCAGTTTATACTGGTTATGATATATCTAAAGATGATACCGATGGTATTACTCATGATAATTCTCAAGAACCACTAATAGGTAAGACACCGACTGATCCAGATAAACCAGTCGTCACCGCAGCTATCTTTAAACAAGATTCAATAATTGGTAGTGAAGCTTTGCAAGGACCTGGTTACTGCATCGAAGGCTCTACTGATGGACCTCTCTTATCTGATGTACAAGCTAGAGAGTACAGCTTGCAACATATACATGATCTAAAAGAAAGAAAAATGGAAAATGGTGTAGCTATACAGATATATGAAAAGAATAAAAGTACAGAGAAGAAAGATAAATCTGATTATATTCCTTTTAATTTAAATAATAAGCCTTCGTCATCAGGTGAAGTTATGGAGAAGAAAACAGAGGATTTACCTTTGAAAGATGTTCATAAGAGTATAAGAGGTTCTCTACCCACGATTCGAGCTGATGTTTATGAATCGGTGAAAGAAGTGATGTTGGCTGGATCTCCGAAGTTTGAGAAATTACAAAATGAGGTGTCACAGGAAGGTTTTGGTTACGATAATCCTCCACCAATGATCACCATTACGGAGGAAAGCGAGTCTGGCAAGTCTGATAGCACCAGCTAAAGTTGGCAACCTAAGTTAACTATAAATATAAGTAGGGATACGATCGAAATGTTTAAAGTGAATATGTTTGAATATTTTTTGATGTATTTCAAGCTGGAAAACTCCAGCATTTAATTTGACGTATTTTTGTTATTGCCAGATTCATTTTTATTAATAAACTTTTTTTTTAAATGTGACATAACTATCAAATTTTTGGATAGATTTTTGTTTTCATTAATTTACATTGTCTCATTTAGGTTTATAGGAATTATTATGTGTCGTAACTTTATAAATTTTCTCTATAAAACTGTAGACGTATGCTCTAAGCTTTGGTGTTGTTGTTTTCTTTTGAATTGCTTTTGTTTTTCTTTTGTTAAAGTTTAATGTTGCCTCTTGAGATTCTAATCTAGTTCTAAATATTTGCATAACTCAGCTTTAAAGAACGCTATGTTGTATAAATGTATGTAGTTCTCTGCACTCTACTTCTCTACAAATATCTGTTATTGTTTTCTGTATGTTCAAATATACTATCGTTTTTTTTATTATAATAAGTGTTATTATTGTTAATAAAATTGTCATAGCGGCACCTTTTCTGGTCATAAATGCTTATCAGAGTTTTTAACCATATGAAAGTTAATTCTTTAAAGCAAAATAAAAAACACTCGTAAAACATCAAAATCGTAAAAAATATAAAAGTACACTGATAAGCATATTTCATTGTTAATATTTTAATTTTATGACGTCATTATCTTAAAATAGGTTAAGAAGTAAAAAGCGATGTTATGTCAAAAACCTTTTAAGTAAGTCAAGTTATAGGTTAGTAAAGATTTTAATATAGACCCCTAATCATTCAAAATATGAATATTTATTTTGTGAAACTTTGAAATGATATCATTAGACTGAACGCTAGAAATCCCAAATGTTTTAGACGAAAACAAGATTACAATGATAAGCGACATACAATTTTGATAAGACAGGGCTTGATGGAATACGAAGGCAATACTGCGGAGTTAGATAAAATGCATTCGCTTTGAAGCGATTGCATAGCGAACTTCAAAAATGTTTAAAACTGACAATAACTTTCGATAAGTCATTTAATTGTCGCGCGTCAGTTTCATACATTTTTTAAGTTCGCTATGGAATCGCTTCGAAGCGAATGCTTTGTCTAACCCCCTTGACTTCTATATGGACAGGCTATAAGCCGTTGCTTTTTGTGTCTATTTGATATGTGTAATTTCAGCGCTGTATCTATTATTTGCTTTCTGCCTTAATTTAATAGAAAAAAAACGTATAAATGCTGATCGCACAAGGATAAGTAGATAAGTAAATTGTAGGGAAGTAATTATTTGTATAACTATCAGAGATTTTTGTTGTTTTGTAGCGTCTTGTATTAGAATATTTAGGTTAAGAATCACTCGGCTTGGTTGGTAGATGAATTTGAAATCTTAAAACCTAATACTAATTATAAATTGATTTGAATGAAAAGTTAAAGTTACATGTCATTGTTGAAAACTTTAAAATATAAATGACGATCTGAGCTTTATGTTTATTTAAGCAATTCAAGTGTCTGTCAAGTTACTTTAATGTCGATAAACTTAACGTAAATGTGCGTTTATGTTATCATAAATCAAAAACGTTGTGAATAATTTTATTAATTTCCTGCAACATAAAGTACAAGAGATTCGTTTTATTGTACTAACAATAAAACTATAGGTTTGCAAATATACAGTAATATTGTAATTGTATGTCTGATTTCCGATAAAGGAAATCATCAGATTTAACACATTCAGTACCGCCAACTCGTCCTCCGAGTTGTTAGTAAATGCGAGTTAGTATATAGAAATCGTAGTGGCGTTGTAAATGTTAATTGTCAATCAATCAAGCCTTAAAATACACCAATTTCACTAGTTATTTAAGAATGAATGGAGCATTTAAAATTTCATAAGTATATATAAATTTAAGAAGCAGTGTATTGCGAAAAAAGTCAATAAAGCGTTTATTTTAATCCCTTTAGTTAAGTTAAGTTAGCAATTATACTTATAAAAAGTTTATATTAGTTGTATTTTTTTTAAATAGTCCTCCATGTAAATATAACGTTGTAAACACATTTAATTATAATGTTATTCCTTATGTTATTTATTCCTTTCTTATTTAAATAAAATAATTATTTTATTTTATTGTTTTAAGTTACGTAGTTAGTGCCGTCCTAAATTAACGAAAATCGTGCCAAACAAATTTAAGCTCTATCCTTATTGCTTTAAGTATGATATTTGGAGTTATATTGTATTATAAAACTTATTCATATTTGTTTGTAAAATAACTAAAAAGAATTGATTTAATTTTGCAATATAAATTACGGAATGTTTTGTTAATAGTTTTAATTTTATAAATAAAGTAAGTTGCGGATCAAAACGGCTATTTATTACGTTACTATTTTGTTGTTTTATTTCATGAATGGAATGGAATAACTTTCAATGTTTCAAATTGAAATTAAAACGTACGAAATTAATATTTAAGACGATGATTTTCGTATGGATAAATCTGAAAATAATTAAAAAAAATGTGAAAAGTTTAATAATTATAATATAAGGGCCAGATATAAAAGGCAGTTATCCTAGAAACCGCACGCATCGTGAGAAGGTTCCTGTCTCTGCAGCCCTGACCACTGGTTGTTTGAGTCATGGGACTCCGCAGCCCGTGGTGCTCTATTTTTAATATAATATATTTTGTATATGAAATGTTATATATTAAGAATAAGATTAATATATGAACATATAATAATGTAAACTAAAAATCTAGTGTGATTATTAGTTACTAAAAAAACGCATCAAGAACATTTCATAATGTGGTATAGCGCCATCTTACGGGTGGAGGAAAAAATGTTTTATGTTAAAGCACCGTATTCCTTGAAACCTTAAAGCTAGACCAAACAGTATTGGGGAATGCCGTAAGGGGACGTGTTGTTTTATGAATGGAAAAATGAATCTGAGAAGAACAACGGTTATAAATAAATAATTCAATTTTATAGTTCATATTTTTACTCATTGGGGACTCAGCTAGCCTAGCCGTGGGTTTTGTGACATGTCTTTGTATTGTCAACGATGATGACGGAGATAAAGATATGGTTTATTCAGAGATTTTGGAAGAAACCAACGGTAAGTCTTCTTTAAAATCGCCAACTATCATCAGCTTTACTTGAAGGGTAAGGGGAGGTAAGAAATAAAGGGTCCAAAATCAGTTTTTGTTAAAGAATTAAAACAGTCTTTAAATATGTCAAAGTTAGTCTTAATTTAATACAGCAGATTAGTTATTAATTACTAAAGTTGACGAGTGTACTTGTTACTAGAGATTATAATGTTTAAATTGTAGATATTTTTTATTAGAGTTTCAACTGAAAGTTGGGAAAGCTTTAGACTAAATCAGTGTACATTGATGTGTACATAAAATGAATAAGTACGAACCGAAAGGCTCTAGAGAGTTCGTCGAGCGCGATCGAAAAATTAAGAGCACATTATACAGCCGAACTTAATTTTAAAAAGCCTCTACGTGCGTCACGATCCGAACTACCCTCATCTCATCGCTATTGATTCACTGCGGATAATTGAGTACACGCGTGACACCCCCCGCGACCCCCTGTCCCCACGCCACCCCAAACACACACCCCCACACACGTCGCACCTCATTTGATTACAACGGAAAAAGCGGCGAAAAATCGAGTAGATGCAGTAATCGGCCGGTTGCTATGGTAACCGATATTAACGCGGGGGGTTTAATGTAACCAAGGCTGCATGGCGGAGCGGGACCGTCCCGCAGCGCCGCCGGCTTGCTCTTAATTAGGCCTCCTCCAATTTTATAGTTTTTTAACCAATAATGTTGTATAATACGAAGAAATTATAGAGGTACTATCATACCTGCTACGATACCATAGCTTGCTATTTTTTCTGCTTTTTTTCTCGATTTCTATGTTATATATAGAAATTGATTATTAGTCTAACAAGATGGATACAAATAAAAAAATCATTATTGGATAACTTACAAAAATGCATGTATTTCTTAAAATATCCTTAATAAATAATGTTTTCTATTTCACTCAGTATCTAAAAATTGTTCCATACTCTACTCGTATAATCATTTTGTGCAAGGTGTAAAAAATTGTGCTTATTATAAGTAAACAAGAATGAAAATGCAGCATTTCAAACTGACTCTACTAGTTACTCTACGTGTTTGCTACGCCGTTATATTTGATCTATGCTACGTTGCGATAGACCACGTAGCACTGCTATAGGTTATCCGTAGCCGATGCTTGTGTAAGAACTACGTCGCAGTTATAAGCTTACTAACTACAGTGGAATAATATCTATAGGAGCTTCTTAATATTTTAGAGCGTAGTTAAATAATTTTTATTTGTCTTAACTTATTATCCTAAATTAAAAAGGATATATCAATTTGGTATTTAAAAAAACACTTTCACTTTTCCTGTACTTTTATATGAATTAATATTTTAAGCAAATATTACTTTTTAAACTGTAACAAACTGTCAATATTCATCATAAATTCATGAATACATGAACTTAACGATTAAGATAAAGACAGTCAAATTACAAAACTGAAATGATTTTGTACAACATATGTTGGTCATGCGTACATCAAACAATTCTACACTTGAACACGTGTAGATAAGTTCGTCCAACCAAGAAATACGCGTTGACTTAGCTACACCCACAATCATTAATAAGCGTGAAGGTGAGAATAATTACCTACCTTTAATGATGTATTAGTTACATAATGATTATTTTCGATTTCTTCAACACTAAGTTTAATCAAGGAATTTAGTTAAGTGTTTAAGCAATACATCATAACTTATACTTACAAAGCTTTCGTGACATGAAATGTTACTGTAAGTTCGTAGAAATAATATTTACATTAATAATAGTAGTTTCTTGTGAGACTATCCCGCACTTCATTAAGACCGAGATGGTCACGTTACGATCTCGTATAACACATAAATAGATCCGAGCATAATACATCCGATTCCGCGGCACACACCCCGCACACCCGGCTCTCCTCATTTTTGTACATCGCTAAAAATCCCTAAAACCACCCCTCGGCCCAGTTTAAACAACCCCCCGCAGCCGCCCGCTCATGCAGAT